TTATTATTATTATTATTATTATTATTTGGTACTGGGGATCAAACTCAGGACCTTATGCTTGCGAGGCAGGTAGTGGCACCACTGAGCTAAATCCCCAGCCCTGTGAATTTAATTTTTTTTTCTGGTCCTGGGGATGGAACTCAGGACCTTGTGTTTGTGAGGCAGGCACAGTGTCACTGAGCTAAAATCCCCAACTGTGAAATGAATTTTGAAGGATGAGTAGGATTTCACAAGACAATATTCAAAGGCAAACATTTATAATTAACATTTCACATCAGCACTTTTTTTTTTTTAATTCCTGGAATCAAACTTAGGACCTTGTGCTTGCTAGGCAGGCATGGCACCACTGAGCTAAATCCCCAGCCCATCAGCACTCTTTAGTAATGTGTGTGTGTGTGTGTGTGTGTGTGTGTGTGTGTGTGTGTGTACCCAGGGCCTCACCTACCCAGGGCCTCATGCACATTAGATAAGCACTGTACCACTGAGCTACATCTTCAGACCAGTAAGTAACTCTTTATTAGGGAAGTAAAAGATAAAATTTATCAACTACTTTCCCCATCTGGAAACCTACACAGCCAGGAGTCAAGAAAAAACAGGCTCAAAGCTTTCCAATGCAAAGAAATTATCCATGTTTATGGAGTGGCAAATGCTATTTACCTGGATTTGATCATTACACATTGTATATATGTATCAAATTAATCACACTATGCCCCATAAATATATACAAATGTTAGGTGTTAAACAATTAAAAAACATCAAAAATTGTTAAAAAGCACATTAAATTTTCAAGGTTGGGCTCAATGGTTCCGGTGCCTGCCTCGCAAGCACAAGGTCCTGAGTTCGATCTCCAGTATCAAAAAAACCCCCCAAAACAAATTTTCAAGGTGGGGGGCTAGTATAGGCACTGATAAAACTGACCTGCTTCCTTGGTACCGACTTGGAGATTCCTGTAGGTAAAAAAATGGGAGTGAAGGAAGCTGCAGATCAAAGGTTCTAACCTATCTTGTTAGATAACTCAGCTGTAACCTTTCCCTGGTGGTCTAGTGGCTAGGATTACTCAGCTGCAATGTCCTCTAGTAGTGGGTGCTAATATTCCCAGGAGGAGAAAATAAAGCAACAATGTTTCCTTAGGAAATTGTTAGCTTTGAGGGAATAAAATTTTAGTTTCTATTCAGAAGAGCACATTGGAAATCCTGTAAATTATTATTATTTTTTAATACTGGGGATTGAATCCAGAGCCTCATGCACATTAGAGAAGTACTCTACCACTGAGCTACATCCCAGCCCTTTTATTTCATTTTGAGATAAGGTGTCACTAAGGTTGTCCAGGTTGGCCTTGAATTTGCACTCCTCCCACTTCAACCTCCCAAGTATCTGGATTACAGGCATAAACCACCACATCCAGTTTAGAAAAACATTGATTACACTGTGCTAGAATAGTTATAGGAACAGGATCAATAGGACAATTATATAAATAAACAAAACAGTCTTAGGATGAAAGAAATGTCTAGGAAATAAGAGTATGCACAAGAGGAAGAGTCCTGAGGCATCTTAGGCATCTTTTTTTTTTTTTTGGTACCAGGGGTCGAACTTGGGACCTTGCACTTTCAAGGCAGGCGGCTGTACCACTGAGCTAAATCCCTGGCCCCCTTAGGTATCTTCTTTTGGTTGTTTTGGTTTTTTCTTTTTTGTGAGTCAAGGTCTCGAAGCCCACACTAGCCTTGAACTTGCCATCCTCTGCTTCAGCCTCCAGAATGTGGAGATTAGAGGCATGAACTCTCACGCCTGGCTTTCTTGGGCTTCTTAAAGAGAAATTTAAAACATTGTAACAGATGTTTTGTCTATAAAAGAGCTGCCTATCTGGGTGGCACATACCTGCAATCTTGATACTTTGAGAGCCTGGGCAATTTAGAGACTTAGCAAGACCCTGTCTCAAAATAAAAAATAAATTAAAAATTTAAAAAGGCCTGGGGATACAGCTCAGTGTAAAGGCCTTGGGTTCAATCCCGCGAAATATGAGGGAGAAATGAGGGAGAGGCAGAGAGGGACAGAGGGACAGAGGGAAAAAGACAGACAGACAGAGACAGAGACAGAGACAGAGGCAGAGGCAGAGACACAGAGGCAGAGAGAGACAGAAACACTTTTTACCCAGTATGTCATTATTCACTGATATTCAAGAATTCATTACAAGTGTTCTAAATACTGGTTGGTTCTTTCAGCCCTCCCAGATATTCTGGAGCCTCATCTACTTTTTTTTTTTTTGGTACCGGGGATTGAACTCGGGTCTTTGTGTTTGCGCAGCAGGCAGCGAAACCGCAGAGCTAAATCCCCGGCCCTGGGGCCTCATCTATTAAACTACAGTGTGCTTGGGTACAAATATTATCAGTCTCTATGTGTGCCATGATATGGAATAGGTTAGGAAGTATTATTTTATACAGTCTTCTGGACAAATGAAAAAAGTAAGAGAGAATATAATAGTAAAGAAAACTTGCTGGGGATTTAGGTCAGTGGCGCCACACCTGCCTTGCAAGTACAAGGTCCTGAGTTCAATCCCCAGTACCAAAAAAAAAAAGTAAAGAAAACTTAAAACAAAAAAACTTATTTCATTCACCTTTAGGAAGGCTAGAAGTTTCTTCAGTTCTTCATTCTCTTTTCTCAAGATTGATAACTCTCTAGGCAAAAGATGGAAGCAATAAGCTCCAAGTCAGTGGGATAAAAAAATATTATTATTACAATCACTATTATTATCAACATCTAGTTAATGTTTAGTGAGAGATGCTTACAGATATACAGAGAATTTCTGTGTGGGATCTGGTGATTCAGAGAGACAATGGCAGCATGTTGATGGTGAGAACAATCAAGTTAACAAAAGAAGCAGTCACTTCGTATGATTTCAGAGGAGTCTGTATAGATTTCCATTTCCTCTCACATAATCTTAGCCTGCTGATGTCTAAAAATTTTCATCAAGGATTTCATCTTTTAGCTTAAGATTTCCAAAATACATCCTCCCAGAGATAACATTTTAAATGTTATATCTCATTTTTATCACTGTGAATCATCTGATTTCTCTGAAGAAGCAGTCTTTGAGACGGGGAAGGAGAGGGAAGCCAGAAAGTGAGGAGGACCCAGAGAGAAAAAAGAAAAATACAAAACGGACACTCAGGGGACCGACCAAAACTTCTGTCCCTGATTTTCTCAAAACAAACATAATATACATGGGAAATTTTTCAATCTTTGTAAATACAAGGAAAGAAGGACTATAACATCTCTGAAAGGGAAAAAAAAAAAGCTATCTGTGGATTTCTTACTTACCTGTTCTGGCTGGTCACTGTTTGCTGTGCCTCCTGAATGGCTGCTTCTAACTTTGTAATTCTATGCTTATAAAAGGCAATGAGGAGATCTGTTTGTTTCTTCTGGAAACTCCACACCTATCAGGAAAAATTAGGCCTTTGACATGCACTCCCATGACTCCCTTTCCCTTACTTTTGGCAACAAAGAGAAATCTATCAATTCATACTTTATTACTGTTCTTTTTCTTCTGGAATATTTGGCTTAATTCATAAATCCCAAAAAGTAGACAGCTCAGCACTAGGGAAAGGGTTTTCATTTCTGGCACATTGGCTTTCTAATTTCTTAATAGTAATAATGTGACAAAGAATGGTCCTTTAAAAATATAATATTTTATCCTCTCAGAATTGGTTCATACTTGTCTACAATTAGCTTGGACTCTGCTTCCATAAGTCTTAGGTATTACAGAGCACTGGTGACCAATTTACTTTCCCTAAGACATGTATATAGTCACTTGCAAGCAGTTTATGCTCTTGCAGTGAATGGTGAAGATGCATAAAAGCACCTATTCCTGAATTTTATTTCTGGGCATGGACACATAATTTTATCTTTTGTGTCACTTTACCATTTGCTATATTGAGGTACAGTATTTATCATGGGATCGCTGAATCAGATCAAAAGTTAATATTTAGATTGTGTTTTAGCTTTGTCAACTTCTGCTTTTGAATACACAGCAGTATTTATGTCTCATCGGCTTTCTCCCTGCTCAGACTGTAAACTTCTGTCAAGGGTCCTTCTCTAGATCTTAGTACTTCCTCACAAACATTTTCCTCATCTAATTTGCAAATTGCTTTTGCAACTTTACTACAGAATTGAAAACCTAATTAAATTAGTTCTTGATAGATAAGACTGTACTGTAGTTTACTTTTCTAAAAAGGCTTTACTCTTTTTTAAAAAAGTGGGTTTTTTGCGGGGGTTGTATTTGTTTTTGTTGTGGTACTGCAGATTGGAACCTAGGGAGTACTGAATTACATCTCCAGCCCTTTTTAATTTTTATTTTGAGACAGGGTTTTGCTAGGTTGTCCAAGTTGGCCTCAAACTTGCAATCCTTCTCCTGCTCACCCTCCTGAGTAGCTGGATTACAGGCATGTGCCACCATGAATAGCCAAAGATATTATTTGTTTTCATAAAAGTAAGGCATGTCTAGTTTAGAAAATCTGGCCAGAACAGCAGCAGAGAAAAATCACTCAGAATCCTAGGAGTTACCTAAAATTATGGGAGGAGTTCTGGAGAGCAACAGACAATATGAGTAGATATAATAGCCAAGACATAGTATCCTTAACATTCTAATCCTACCCTTGGGATCAGTCTGTGATAAAATTAAGTTGACAGGCTTGCATCAAGAAAACCCAAATCTTGCTCTAGACCAGTTACATTTCTCTCTGAGATCACCAAGCCTCATATGTACACAGAGAACAGACCTCACTGTGGAACCCTAGCAAGCCAGCCCACACTATGGGAGGACCTTTTGCCTAGGCCTAAGCAAAAAGGCAGAAGAAAGCAAAAACAGAACAAAACAGATTAATAATTTCAAAACAGGTGGTGTGTTCAAAAGGGATCTAGGAGGACTAGAAATGCTTGCTTTGTACAGAAAAACAAGTGGTAACTGTAAGAGGAAAAATGAGAACAAAAGGTAAAAAAAATTAGGAGGTTTACTCCTAAAATGGATGAAACTATCATGACCTCTGGTTGCTCATCTGTTCTTTGTGGATGTTCATGTTCAGATGCCAGCAATAATATTGTCCACGGGGCATGTATGACCAACATGGCAAGTCTGAGAACATAGCTGAAGCTGAAAATAGGAAAGCTGGGGGCAAGGAAGAACCTTGATTCTTTTTAAAAATTTTTTTGGTACCAGGGATCAAATTTGGGTCCTTGTGCTTTCAAGACAGGCGGCGGAACCACTGAGTTAAATTCCCAGCAAGCCTTGATTCTTGAGGTGGGATGTTGACTCCAAGATACCCTTGAGCAGTGGAGCCTCCGGAGGAAAAGGAGTGGATGCAAACCTGGTTGAGACACAGGACAGTGGGGATGAACAGGACATTGGGGTAGGGAATCTCATCATTGACCTAGACAATGATCTGGAAAAGGATCAGCAGAAACTGGAAATGTCAGACTCAAAGGAAGTGGGGATAACAGCTCCCAGTGCTGTGGCCACACTACCAGACATCAAGTTTGTGAGCCCAGCGCCACATCCTCAAGGGAAAGAAGGCAAATCAAAATCCAAAAGGAATAAGAGTGGCAAAAACACTAGCAAATCCACTCCAGGAACTTTCTTGTTCACTCCAAGTGAGAGGGCAGCTAGCAAGAAAGTGGTATAGGGGTGCTCAGGAGCTGATGCCAGTGCAGGAGGCCTGGCTGTGGTTATTGCTCCCCAAGCACTCAGAGAAGGCAGCTAAGGCATCACACAGTGTGGCTGGCTCCAAAAAGGAGAAGGAGAACAGTTCATCTAAGAGCAAGAAGGAGAGAAGTGAAGGAGTGGGGTCTTATTCAGAAAAGGATTCTGAGGTCCTCCAGCCAGTTGCCTTGGGAGGACGGGGTGGTCAGTAAGATGGAAGTGTGGGGGTGATACAGGCACTGTGGAGCCACTTGGGAGTATAGCTATTTAAGAGTTTTTTGTTTTTTGGTACAGGGGATCGAACTCAGGACCTTGTGCTTGTGAGGCAGGAGTTGGAACCACTGAGCTAAATCCCTGGCCCCGGACTATAGCTATTGAGCCTGGGGCAGTGCTCAACCTTTTGGGAGCTAATATGGAGCCAGAGGAAGGAGAAAATGAGTGTCACCCGCTAAAGAAAGTCTGAAAAGGTAAGAGGTGGCCAGATCTGGCTGCCCACTGCCAGTCAAAACTGCCCTGAATTAACTGCCAAATGCTGTGTGCACTCTGTAGTAGGCTCATTAGTTTGTGGGTAATGACCAATTATGAGGTCAGAGAAACTGGTAATGATAATGTGGTTTTACTCCAAAGTAGAGGATTCCCTACAGACCCATTTACAGCAAGCTTGGATATTTTGGAATAGTGTGTCTATTGTGGGGGTAGCTACTTGGTAGCATGTATTTTCTGCTACCTGGTCATTGTCCTACCTCATATATTCGTTGCTAGAGACTGACATCAAACCTTTATGTGGTTTCCTGCTTGACTGACATTTATCATCGAAGTCAATAGTTGATACACTTAATAGACCTTTGGTTATATGTACAGTTTGAGTGCTGTTCTTTTTTTTTTTTTTTTTTTGGTACCGGGGATTGAACTCTGGTCCTTCTGCTTGTACAGTAGGCGGTGAAACCACTGAGCTAAATCCCCAGCACTTGAGTGCTGTTCTTAATGGGATAAATGGTACTGCTAGGTGTCTAGAAGAACAAAGGCTAATCAAATTTCATTATGTAAAAAAAAAAATTTCCAAATAAATTTCCTTGTGAAGGTTAAAGCAGAGGAGACTTCATCATACTAGATAAAAATGGCCTGTGTGGAGATTTGGCTATTACCTCTCTCTCTTCTTAGAAGACTTCTTAGAAGGTCAAGCATAACAGTTTGGGCTTGATGGTAAAGAACTTCAGCAGGAATAAATCTACTTTGGGATACTGGGCCTAGTGTAGAAGCTTAGTCCAAACTAATGGCTTCCTATAAATTTTATTCAACACATGAAACATATTTTCTATTTTATTTACTGAAGAGAATATTTTAAAAGTTTAGTTCTGAATTAGGTCCAGTAAGAGGCAAGAGAGACTAAGGAAAAAAAAAAACACTGAAAGATACTATCTGTTAGTCAGCTTTCTGTTGCTGTGACAAAATACCTGGAATAATAAACTTTAAGGAGGAACAGTTTATTTGGGCTCACAGTTTCGGAGGTTTCAGCCCACTGCCATTTGGCCTGCAGCAAGGCAGTATATCAGGTGGGAGTACATGGTAGAGAATGCCCTCCCCTCATGGCAGCCAGAAAGCAAAGAGAGAAAGGGGTTCCAACCTCCCTGGTTCCAACCTTCCTTCTACTAGACCCCACCTCTTAAAGCTTTCATCACTTTCCAATAGTGTCACAGGATGGTGATCTAGCCCTTGACACACAAGCCTTTGGGGACCATCCAAGATCCAAACTAGAGCAGATACTGAAAAGCAAGGTAAGGGAAGCAAGGGGATGCTCAGTAGGTTCATTATGAGACATAAGCTATTTTGGTTTAACATGAGTTATCAAAGATAAAAGTGTGGCCTGGGATTTAGCTCAGTGGTGCCGTACCCTGCCTTGTAAGCGCAAGGTCCTGAGTTTGATCCCCGGTACCAAAAAATAAAAAATAAAAGCATTCCATTTATCAAAATAGTATGTGCTTTAGAAATGAATATTAGTTTGATAGTCTTTTTTGTATTAAAAATAGCTTTCTTAATTTTTATTTTCAAGGTTTATGTGAAAACTTATTTTCTCATGCAATTTTAATGAGTATTTATAAAGGAGCTGCTAAGTTTTAGAAACTTATTTTAAAGTTATTGGTAAGCTCACAGTCTCTCTTTGACATCCAGAACCTATTAGTTTGCTTTATCTCTTGTGAAACTGACTCCTTCATCGCACAATAGCTACAAGTCTTAATATTTTAAAACTATATCTTAGAGTAATTATTTAGGTAAGGGAAGGAAATTTTTTCTTTAGAAGTGGTCCAACTAAAAAGTTGAGAAAGGAACAACAGAGTTAGAATAGCAGCATTTCACAATTTCTAATGATTTTTTTTTCTGGTACTGGGAAATGAACTCAAGGCCTTGCGCTTGTCAGGCAGGCACAGTGCCACTGAGCTACATCCCCAACCCCTATATGGAATTAATGTATTTGCAAAGCAGATCAATAACACATCATACAAATGACAGAAGTCTATGATGTACTTCTCAGTGGAAGGCAACACTGCTATAAAGTGATCCTAAGTTATCTCTGTATCTGACTATACCTGATGCTATAATTCAGAAACCCTTCGAATTGGTTGAGGGAGGAATTTGGAAAAGTTTGTATAAGAAACCTAGAGAAAACTTAAGACTGTTGTCAGCAGACCTTTTTTTATCATTTTTTTTCTTTTGCTTGAAGCACAACATTTATCAGTACATTTT